ATGTCAATGTATGACAAAAACCACCACAGTATTGTAAAGTAATTAGCCTTCAACTAATAAAAAAAAATTAAAAAAAAAAGAAAAAAAGAAGTCTTCATGGAGCTGGAGAATGAATGGTGAAACAGCCACAAGGCATGCTAGCATGCTGTTCATACTGAAATTCAGTTGTTCTTAAATATTCCCTGAGCTGCTAAAAGCTTATAGTTAGTATTCAGAGTCAGAAAAACCTGATTCTGACAGTTTTTGTTTTGTTTTGTTTGCCAGATTTTTATTGCTTTTATAGAGCAGAGAATTTTCAGAGATCTTATGCCACCATTTTTGGCATTTTTGGCAGGGTGATAACTCCCTGCTATTTGTAACCTCACCCAGGGATTGGCCAGAGCAGCAAGGACTAACCCTTTGTAGTTAAATTAATTCTTTCATTTAATGGAACCAGCTTTGCTGGTGTGAGTACGTTAAAATCATAGAACCTCGATTTAAAAGATATCCTGATATTCAAATTGCTTTTTGAAATCTTTTTGTCTTAACCATAAAGTATGATAATATTCTGAAGTCATTCAGTGAACTTATATCTGAATCCTATTAAGTGGCTACAAGTATATACTATTTCTTTGTGTTGCTAAAACAGAGTCTAAGCAGCCTTCTATAATTGTACCTTTACAAATATTGAGCATTTTTAGATATTAGCCTCCCCACATCACTGTCTTTTTATTGTATTGAACCCCCAGATTTGCTTTTGATTAACAGTCAAACCTTTAAAAAGTCCTCTGAGAGAAACAAAACCTGAAAATGTGAGATTGAAATGAAATGATTTAAAATAGTATTTGGGCATTTACGTGTCCACTGGTGCCACAATATATCTGAACATTGAATGGAATTCAGAACTCCATGAAAAAGAGCTGATGTCCAAAGAGTTGATGTCACACAGCATATGGCCTGATTGGCACAGAAGTTGGAGCTGGACAGTTGATTCTCCATTCTGCTCTGGTGGAGGCTGTACTTCTAAAAGCGAGCTCTTCAAACTTACATCTCAATTACTCTTAACAGGGACAGTTAGAATTTTCTTTCTCAAATTAAAGGTTTGAGAAATCCCTGATAAGATGTACTGTTCCCTCAAGTTTATTTTAATTGTAATTTTTGTTTACTGTCAGCCTTCATCCAGCTTTGACGACTTAGATTCTCGTAAGTATGCTTTGGCGGTTGGATGGTTTCGTTCTCTCTTCCAAGTCACTTTACCCGAGTTTAAGGGCATTAGATTAAATAAACTGCTTATTCCACATAACTTGGACTTCCTGGAAAGATTTAGGGTTTAGGAGAAAATTGGCCGTTGTCAGAGGGAGAATGGAAAAACTTCCTTTTCCTGAAACACATATCTCTTACAAGAGAGATAAGTATATTCTTAGGACTATGAACATAACATTTTAAGAAAGTTGTTCCCTTAATAATTGCTGTTAGAGATTTTTAAGCCTAATGTACAGCAGTGGTTCAATTCTGACTCTGAAAGTGAACAGAGGTGACTCCGAAAGTGAACCTGGAGGCCCAGATGTTTGGAAGTAAAATCATTTGCTCCAGTGTAGGCAGGTTTGTTATTTACAGCTGCACTTTGCTGCATGTGAAAGAGAAAAAAAGATTCTTCCCACTGTCTTTCCTTCTTTCTCTCTGGACTTTGTGTTTGAGTCCCATCTCCCTTAGAAATGAACATTTCCCCCCATCTCTAGGCCCACTTATGGTCCTGGGCACCCCCCTAGGAAGACTCATTTGTGCTTTACAAGCATTGGGTTCTTTCTTCTTCCACTGAAGGAAGCATATTGTGGTTGCTAAGTGACTGTGAGGAGGGAAGCCACGTTCACTGCTTGCCTGTACTTCTCTGCCTAGATAAAAACTCCAAAGTTAACGCGATAATTATGTTCTGCATTGGTGGTGCTATCCTGTTGGCCATGCTCGTTCTGATGGCCGTCGTCATCTGTCTTTACTACAAAGTAGCCAACGCACTGAAGTGAGTGATGTGGGTAAGAGGGGCTAACACCCCCTCGCATGGGATCCTGGGGCTCTGTGCTTGAGCGGGGTCATCCCCGGCCCTGTGGCCGCACCCTGGGTGAGGTCAGGAACAGCAGGAGGGTTTGAGAGGACCGAGGCAGGGAGGGTAGGATCTGGCTTTCTGCCCCTTCTGGTCTGGGGCTGTGAGCTCACAAGGAGAATGTTCTCAGCCGCTGGGTCTGCGCTGCTTTGCCGTCCCTTGGCCTCCCCGGGTTTACCCTTAGCGGGTTGATCCCACAGGACTGCAGACTGAAGATGGCATGACTGAGTCTGCCTGTGCTCACTCAGAGGATGGGCTGAGCTGATGTTCCCCCCGCCTGAGTTGGGGCGCGCTCAGCGGGTCCTTGGCTCCAGGCACAGTGGGATGGGCCTGTAGGACCCTGGGGAAGTTGAGTTGTGTGAAGATCCTGGGCTTTGCCTCACCAGGGAGTATAAATCAGAAAAGGGAGTGTTAAATTTGGGAGAAAGGAGGCCTCAGATATAGGCGAGACTGGTTGTCAAAAGCAGTGGTGTTCCCATGCATTAACGTTCCAAGGAGACAGCATGTTTGTCGAACAGAGTCCTGCATCAAGCTTTGAATGACCTGGTTTTTATTTCCAGCTCCTCCTCTACTTGTGTGTGTTTGATCAAGGCAGTGTGCTTCTCCATGTCTCAGATTCTTTATGTGATAAGTGGGGAGAATACCAAAAAAAAACCCCCCAAACCAGCAGCAGTCGTGTTCCCATTCTAGGGAAGTTCAGTCTGTGAGCAGGAAGGTAACTCCGAGCACCTGAGGGTCCAGGGGCGGCTGACTCGGCACCCTCCCGGCTTGTGCTCTGCACTTGGCAGACTTGCAGTGATCACCTGGGTGACCCGCGCTTGCAACTCACTCTCCCTCATTTGCTGGCACCTGATCTTACATTTCTGGCACTCTCAGGAGAGGAAGGGATTGGATAGGAACTTGGGATGAGGGCAGAGTTGCTTTCCTCTTGGGCTGGTGTCATGGGTTTGATTGGTTCCAGCCCCAAATTCTCCAGATCCCCCTGTCAGTTGCAATAGGTGGACCAAGAAGAACAATTCTAATCCTATACTCTGTGTATGTCTTTTCTAAAGCATGCCAAAGGTACCTGTTTGTTTGGCCTTAAAAAGTAATCCAGCTGTGGTCACCCCGGACAAGGTCAGTGCAGCCCTCACCGCTGGGTCTTACCCCAGCCTCCAGTGCTGTGACGAATGTAACTTGTATCCTGGCTTCGATGCCCTGCCTCCGTGCTGCTGTAATGTAAACGAGGGGCTCTGACTTGGGTGGGTACAAATATCTTCATGAACAATATTTCTTTCTTAGTAGAGTCTTTTATTATTCAAATCAAGTTTTATACTGTTTCCATTATATCATGTACTATATACCATATTTATGTGCTTTTGAATAAATGCAATATTGAAAATAACCCTCTCTGCCTCCAGTATTGTTGTTGTTGTTAGTTGTAAAAGTACTTAAATTTGTGTCTTACCTACTTTGGGACTTGGGGCAACTAGCTTATCATATTATATTGCAATATAAGGAGAGTTAAGAGTAATCTATATATACAACCCCAGGAAAAAAAAATAGATGTTGGAGTGTTTCCAGTGTCAGACTCTGCTATAAATTTCCTGTGCCCGAGCCCTTCTCCTTCTACTGGCTTCCTTCACTCTCACCCAGCTTGCTCTGCCATGGACATTGTTACATGGCCAGGAGGGAACCTCCATTCATCCCAGGGGGTATAAGCCAGGAGGCTTTTCTCTGGGTGGAGGGCACCTGATTTGTGTAACGATGGGGTTGAGCTCTGTGGTGTCAAAAGGACATTTAAAAAACCTGAGATGCCTCCTCCTGCTACCCTCCAAATCTTCAGAAGCCGATTTTCCTTCTTTCTGCATCACTGTTAACACTGATTTTTGCTGACTCGGGTGTTTCAGTATCTTTAACTGCAGACAGTATCTTTAACCTGCTGAGTGGTGAAGCCCAGATCCTTCTGGTCTCAGTAACAGGCAGGAGGATGCACCCCTTTCATTCCTGCTTGGGCTGCTCCTTTCCTTGCTCTTTCCTCTGAAACCCCGCTCCAACCCCAGACTCTCCATTTGTAGCCAGAGTTTGTACTTTCCCTCATTAGCACAGCCTTTGCTTAGTTAGCATCCCGTGTTTTACTCAAGATAAGGAATTAACTAGTAACAAGTGGTTGGTTACCTACTAAAAAGGATGAAAGGATAACAGGAAATAATGAGAAACAACTACTAGCTCTAGGCTCACAGGGAGAAAACGATGGTAGAACTAAGCATTTGGAAGAGGTCACCTCCTGGCAGAGAGGCAGTCCTCTAAGCTGAGGGCTTGGCTGAGGAAGGTATATCCAGCACTTCAGAGGCAGCAGGGTGAGCTGCTCTCACACAGTAGCCCTTGGAATGGCCGAGAAGCTCCCTGGAGGGTGACATGAGTGCCCCCAGCCTCAGTAAGGGTTTCGAGAGGCAAATTCAAGCCTGCACCTTCCCTGGAGCCTGCCCCAAACCTTCCAGCTGGAAATGCTGAGCCCTTCTTGGGTGTCCTTGGAGCACTTCCTCTCCTGGCATCTACTACTTCCTGCCTCATCTTAGGAGTTCAAGTGCACTTGGATTTTCTCCTGTCACCAGCAAGCCCCTGAGCATCAGTGCAATTTCCCCCTGAGCTCCACTCAGTGGTCAGCACAGCGCCCAGCACCCAGGACGCCCTGTGCAAGTGTGTTCCAAATGTGGGGAGTACACCCTAAGTCCAGGCATTGCAGGGTCCTTGAGGGAGGCAGGATGGAGTAAGGGGTTCTTTGAGACACCCCTCTGGTGGGCAGTAGGAACAGAACGTAACAGAGAGACTTTAGAACCAGGCAGACTTGGTTCAAAACCAACTGTGCCTTTCACAAGCTTGTGCCACTGGAGAAGTTGCTTTACCTCTCTGAGCCTCAGTTTCCTTAATGTAAAATGGGAAGGAGGGCTGCCCAACCGGCAGCCACTTTCCTGATGCCCAAAGGCTTTCTCTTACTCCTATATATGAGGATGCATACTCATGTGCCAGGGGATACACCATGGAGATAAAGGCAAACAAGTCCTTAGGTGCCTGATTGGATTCCATGTCCAAATCAAAACAGATTCCCCCCATTTTCTTGTTAATAGTTTCATGTAGATCTTCGAAATACTTCCCCCAGTGGCCATGTGGGTCAGTCTCCTCTGCATTCCTTCATACAATTTAAACTCAGCTGTCAAGATCTTTTCTAATGTGAAAAGAACTTAACTAGATTGGGAAAATCAAATGAAGTATTTACAAGCAGCACTTGAAAACTGTCTGATTACTGGCCCATGAACCATTCTTCTATCAGGAACAGACTGAACACCTGCTGATGGCCATGCAAGAGGGGTATTCAGAGGTGTATCAGGTGGAATAGCATAATACTATGAAACCTGCCAAATATTGTGACCCACTAGAGACTGTAAAATCCCATCACCAGGAATTAAAAAAAAAAAAACTCCTTTGTAGTGGAGTGATTGATCTATACAATGCACAATTAGCATATAATATATAATATCAATGTTATTTTTCTATAGCAGCCTCAAAGGAGTGTCTCAGACCTGCTGGGTGGAGCTGAAAGTCCAGGCTCCACCTGACTTGAGGGTGCAGGGGGGTCCTCATTGCCAAGCTCTTTACTCTGCCTTCTCTGATAACACCCTGGGCAGGGGAGGGGAGGAGAGGGGAGAGGATAGGTAAGGGGCACTGAGAGCAGGGGGAAGTCCAGGCACCCCACTTCACCTTTGCTGGCTAGGCTAGGGGTGGGGCCACAATTTTACCCATGGAGCAAGTAAGCTATTGCCTCAGAGTTTTCTAGAACTGCCTGGCTGCCTCTGTTGGTCCTCTGGCTAGAGAGAGCAGGCTTCTCTCAGGCCATTTTGTCTGTACTAATTGGAGCTTCCAGTTTGTACCTTTCTTCTTGTTAAGTGCATTTTGATCCGTATGACATGAGATGCTGAACAGTAGTCATGGTTTTCAAACTTCTTCATTCCTAAGAATCATCTGAGTGCTTTTGGAAAGAGTAGCTTCCTGGGTCCCATTCCCTGAACTATACCCAGAGTACCTGAACTGGAAGTTCATTGGACCCAAATTTATTTTTCTTAAAAAAAGTTTTATTTCTGTATTTATTTAGCTGTGCCAGGTCTTAGCTGAGTATGCAAGAACTTTAGTTGCAGCATGTGAAGACTTAGTTGTGGCATGTGGGATCTAGTTCCCTGACCAAGGATTGAACCCAGGGCCCCTGCCTTGGGAGTATGAAGTGTTAGCCACTGGACCACCAAGGAAGTCCCTTATTTATTTATTCTTGAAAGTTCAGTGCATTAATTGTCAACACTTTTCACATTAGGGATTTGCTAATAAAAGCCATAAGGTGCTAATTTTGGAAGCTCTTAGCCTTCTGCTTTCTCTGCAAGATTTAGACAGGTACCATTAATGGGCAGGCGAACTTTTAAAAGTGGAAACTCTAGCAGCTCCTGGTAACCTGGAAAAACTCTTTTTTTAAAAAAAATTTGAAGCATTTGCACAAAATAGATGCCAGATGCTAAAATCATTGTTTCATGTGACTGAGGATGAAGTTACTTGTGAGAGGTAATCAACTTTGGATATAAAGATGCTATCTTCATCAAACTGACAATTAATTACATATCAACTTCTACATGTATCTGCATAGAATTTACTTTTACCAAGATGGTTTTCAGTGAAGGCCATGTTTACAGTGAAACTGACATGTCTCGCTTTAGAGGCAATGTCCCTCCTCAAGTCACTTATCAGATTTTTATCTCTCAAGAATCTGGGGTTCACTTTTGGGCCTCATCAAACCCTGCCCTCCTCCGTGAGGGATTGGACAATAGTGTATTATCATCTGGTACATGCTATTTATTGACAAAGATGGGAACAATATCCCCTGGACTTGAGAGCTCATGTGTTAAATATTGTTACTAAATATTTCTTGAAAAACAAAAGAAAAAAAAGTCTGTTTCTTTAAAGACAACTTTGAGGGCACTGAGCCTAGTGCAGAATTCTTTCTGTTCAGATATAACGAGAGATTAGATTATGTGGGTGCTGCCCTTCGTTTCAGGGAGGACTTGGGACTATGCTAATCTTTCTTTGTCTGCCTTTCAGGTTTCCCATGAGGCTTTGAAGATCTGGGAAACAGACGAAGCACATGGTAGCTCACAGAGCAGTCCTGAGGGGTTCCTGTAATTGTTGCTCAGGCTCTCATTTGCAAGCTTAATCCAAACTCAACAAAGCCAAGGCCCAATTTGTTTTCTTTGAAACAGACAAATAAAGCTCATTTTGTGTAAACAACAATGAGTAAATGACATTTGATTCAACTGACCAATGACTATAGTTTAAAAAAAAAGAGCAGTGATTTTGTGATAGACACTTAGTTTATTCTTCACAGGGCCCTTGGCAAGATCTGAAAATAAATTCTCACATCACCAGACGGACAGAAACAAAAAGATCCACCTACTAGCATCTAAACATTAAGAAGCCAAAAATATCTTTAAAGTGCAGTGTGGTATCAAGAGAGAACTTTTCTTCTGACATGTTGCACAGTTTAAGACAGTGATCAAATTCTTGATAGTGAAGAATTATAAAATGCAAGATTCCTAGCTGCAAAGAGAGCAATTGCCTTAGAAATTTGGTAATCAGACAAGATTTACTTAGCAATCAGCCTCAAAGAGAACCTCTTTAGCTCTTTTATCTGTCTCTACGAGGACAACCTCAGATTTATCCAACATTACTTCGCTGAGCAGAAATAGAATTTGCTTCCAATTTCTAGCAGGTTGATGTGAAACTCGGAGAAATCACCCATGAGTCTTTCTCTGACCGGCTGCTTTGTGGATCTGCAGCGGCCCCACTATTTGGAAATGCTCAGTCTGCTCTCCTGTGGCCTTCCTGAGGCCTGTGCCCCTCTTGCTCCGCCCTGCACAGCCCTGGGGGCAGCGGGAGGAATGGTCCCCCACTTTGCAGATGGTGATCTTACACTGCAGATAGATCACGTCATAGCTGGTGAGAATGCTGAAGATGTTGAACTTGAATCGGGCTACATTCTTTTGCCGGGAGTGCAGGTTGATATAAGTATTGTCTTTGATGCACCTGATGGGAAAAAAAACCCCAGGTCAAGAGGATTAACTTAAAGCACGCTGTTGTTTGTTGTTGTTGGACTCTTTTTGACCCCATGGACTGCAGCCTGCGAGGCTCCTCTATCCATGCAATTTTTCAGGTGGGAATACTAGAGCGGGTTGCCATTTCCTACTCCAGGGGATTTTCCTGACTCCAGATGCAGATTTTCCTGCATCTCTTGTGTCTCCTGCATTAGCAGGTGGATTCTTTACCACTGTGCCTCCTGGTAAGCCCCAATTTAAAGCATGGTGTGGATTAATTCTGGCTCAAATAATTGGGCTTGGACACAAATCTCTGAATTTCAACCAGAGTTCCTCCCACTACCCACTCTTTCTTTCTTTTATGAAAAAAATGAGATGGCTGGATGATGTCACTGACTCGATGGACATGAGTTTGAGCAAGCTCTGGGAGGTGGTGATGCACAGGGAAGCCTGGCATGCTGCACTCCATGGGGTGACAAAGAGTTGGACACTACTGAGTGACTGAACTGAACTGAACTGATGAGAGGAAAAAACCACCATTCCTAGCCAGAAAGAGAAAGGCACTGTAAAACATAATAAAAAAACAAAACAAAGTAAATGTTAGCCAGAACTATTACCTACTCTATTTTTTCAAAAGGGTAGATTAAAAGTGGTAGCATTTGAGGGGCTTCCTTGGTAGCTCAGCTGGTAAAGAGTCCACCTGCAATGCAGGAGACCCCAGTTAGATTCCTGGGTTGGGAAGATCCCCTGGAGAAGGGACAGGCTCCCCACTCCAGTATTCTTGGGCTTCCCTGGTGGCTCAGCTAGTAAAGAATCTGCCTGCAATGAGGGAGACCTGGGTTTGATCCCTGGGTTGGAAAGATCCTCTGAAGGAGGGCATGGCAACCCACTCCAGTATTCCTGCCTGGAGAATCCTCATGGACAGGGGAGCCTGGCGGGCTATGGTCCATGCGGTCACAAAGAGTCGGACACAACTGATCAACTAAGCACAGCACAGCACGTATTATTTGAAGGTGAACTTAATTTATTTTAAAATGTATTTTGTGTAAGTACTGAAAAACTAAAGAAAGAAGTAAATGACATATCAAGAGAGGAGTTAAAATGGAATTAACTTAAATGTTGAATTAAAACCTGCATATAAAATGTATTAAACCTGAATTAAAACCAGAGAAGGCAGCAAAAGGAGAACTGGGGGCAGAAACAAAGAACAAATGCAACAAATAGAAAACAATTACTAGGACGGCAGATTTTAATCCAACTATGTCAACTATCACTTTAAATGTGAATGACTTAAATATACCAATTTGAAGACACAGACTGCCAGAGTAGATTAGAAAAACCAAGATCCAACTATATGCTGTCTATAAGAAACCTATTTTAAATATAAAGACAAAGATTAATTAAAAGTAAAGGGATAGAGAAAGATTTACCAAGCTAATACCAATCAAAAGAAAGCTGGATTAGCTATATTAATTTCAGCCAAAACAGACTTCAGAGCCAGCATTAGAGATGAAAAGGGGCATTACACAAAGATGAAGGGGCCAAAAGAGGATGAGATGGTTGGATGGCATCACCGACACAATGAACGTGAGTTTGAGCAAACTCAGGGAGAGGGTGAAGGACAGGGAAGCCCGGCGTGCTGTAGTCCATGGGGTCACAAAGACTTGGACACGGCTTAGCAACTGAACGACAACAACAAGCTCCCACCTTAAGAAACTAGAGAAAGAAGAGCAAATTAAACCTGTTAATAAAATAAGCAGAAGTATGTCAGTTGTTAAATTCTGGCCTCTCTGATATATAACAGCCACTTGGCTTACAGGATCTTGGTTCCCTGACTAGGGACTGAACCTGGGCCATGGCTGTGAAAGCACTGAGTCGTAACCACTGGACCACTAGGGACCTCCCTCTCCTTGACAAATTTTGGGACGGGAGACCCGAAAGGGAAGAGCTTTCTCCCTCTGACTCAGTGCGGCTGAGGACCACATCCATGTACCTCCCACACCAGGCTCACTGTGCCTGTGGAAAGTGCTGCCCCTTGCCCTCCCCAATTTTTGGAAACAGGCATCATGATACCTCTCAGGGGCTTTAGGAAGCTCTCACCACTTTAGTGGCTCTCACCACTCTGGAGCTGCCATCAGAAAGTGAGTTTTGATGTCTTCACATGGGTTGCCAATTACCCAGCTGTAAGCATTTTGCGCTGGTTGGGGGATAAGAGAGCTATAAAGGCAAACATCTTGCCTGAGTTCCAATTTGGCAAATGTTCTGTCTAACCAAGGGTGCCAGAATAAACCTCATCACTGTAAGAGCTTGGCCTGGGATAACCCAGCAGCCCATCAGTGCTAGCCAAATACCCTGAGGAATGGGGAAGACAATAGTTATAAAACTTGGAGAGAAGAGAGGCATGAGACAGCATGGACTCTGCCTAGGACTCTTTGGGGATTCAAGGGACATTGTCTAGACTTCCTATAACTATCTGCCCCCAGCTGGGATCAGAGGGATGGTTAGGGTCTGGGCTCCGCCTCTGGGCAGGATGAAGACTCGGGGCACAACTTTCTGATTTAGGACTGCCAGTTAAGAAGACAATGGTCAGACCTCCCTGGTAGTCCAGTGGTTAAGAATCTGCCTGCTAATGCAGGGGACATGGATTTGATCCCAGAAGATTCTACGTGCCACAGGGCAACTAAGCCTGTGCATCACAACCACTGAAGCCCCCATGTGCTCGCGGGTCCACGCTCTGCAACAGAGAAGCCACCGCAGTGAGACACCGCCCCCGCCACCGCAATGAAGAGCAGGCCCTGCTCATCATAAGCAGAGCAAGCCCAGTGAGCAGCAGTGAAGACCCAGCGCAGACAGAAATAAACACCAATGAATACACTGTTGTTGTCTAGTCTCTAAGCTGTGTCCAACTCTCTGTGACCCCATGGACTGCAGCCTCACAGGTTCCTCTGTCCATGGGATTCTCCAGGCAAGAATACTGGAGTGGGTTGCCATTTCCTTCCCCAGGGGATCTTCCCAACCCAGGGATCAAACCCACATCTCCTGCATTGGCAGGCGGATTCTTTTACCACCGAGCCACCTGGGAAGCCCAGACAAATACACAAAATTATTACAAATAAAACAAAACAGATCCCCCAAAGGAATAACAGGTAAATAGTCAACCACAGCAACCAGAGAGGGCCTTCCATTTTCCTTACCCTTGCTGGATCAAATCATACTTGACAGTTGTAAAATCACTGGGGTCTGGAGAAGCCACACAGCTATCCACAAAGAGCTGCAGGCTGGGGTTAGGGCTGTGGAGCGTGGCCTGGAGGAAGACCTCTTTCCTCTGGCTGGCGACGTGTGGCCCCGTGTTTTCTCCAGGCTGGGACGGGGACCACTCGAGGAACGATATGGACACATCGTAGCCAGCGTTCTCCCCAGGGACAACTTCCACTGCTGACGGGCCGTCCACCCTGCAGGTGAACTTGAGCCGAGGCACCCTGTGCCGCACGACGACTCGGCCGGGGTGGCCCCTGGTTCGGCCTCTGATGGAGTTGGAGTAGCTGAGGGAGCCTCGGCTTTCCTGGGAGGAGAGGGGAGAGCTGGTGGCCTGTGCTCCTGGCTTCCTGACCAGCGCTTTCTTCACGAACGGAGACTTCTGCTCTGTGCCTGCCACTCACAGAAGCCGGAGGGCATGAGGCTTCAGGCATGACCTCTCTGGTATCCGAGGTCACGAGGGGTTGACCTTATGTCCCTGCTCCTGGGAGTTTAGGGTGCATGCAGGGAACCCCTAGTGTGTGAGTCTGGACTCCCTTCTGCCCTCTTGTGGGTGCGAGGCTTGGGGAATATGAGATAGGGTGGGAGGTCCACACCAGCTGCTGAATTCCTCCACCGCTCCACCCAACTCTTGACCCCAGACCAACCCTGGCTCCTTGTGAGCTGCGTGTCTGGCCCTACAGACCCTCGCTCTCAGCCTTGCTCCTTCAAATCCAACACGACTGTGAGGGGCCAAGAAGGTGCTGGAGGCTGATGAGTAGGGGCCTCAGCAGCGTCCTTCCCGTAGTCTGGCATGTCATGGAGACTCATCGTGGCCAGAGATGTCTGCTCAAGGAAGCCTCAGCCTGTGCGGCTCAGATCCAGGGGCAGTCTGCCTTGAAACCCTCCAAGGAAAGCCCCGAAAGCTTACAGCAGTGTTTCTCACTGGTCTGCCTTGTTTTCCTTTCTTTTTTTTTGCCCCTAAGAATCCTTATCTCTCTTCCCCTTTGAGGGGGATGTCACCCTTGTTGAGAACACACAGCTTAGAAGAAAAGCTAAACTCCAGGAACGCGTGGCCCCGCCCAATTCCAACCAGACTTTGGGCTTCCTGTGGTTCATGGCCCTGAGTCTCTCCCTTGACCTCGTCAAGCTGGCTGCTGCCTCGGGGCCTCTGCACCTGTCTGCTGACCCCCCACGTGGAGCCCTCCTCCTACTCCTCTGTACCTGCTTTATGTCCTTTTTCAGGCCTCGGCTCTTTGACCACCCTATTCAAACGTGGTCTTCCACCCAAAGCATTTTCTATCCTTTTCCTTGTTTGTTCAGTCAGTTCAGTCGCTAAGTCGGGTCCGACTCTTTGCGACCCTATGAACCACAGCACGCCAGGCCTCCCTGTCCATCACCAACTCCCACAGTCCACCCAAACCCATGTCCATTGAGCCGGCGATGCCATCCAACCATCTCATCCTCTGTCGTCCCCTTCTTCTCCCTCCCTCAATCTTTCCCAGCATCAGGGTCTTTTCAAATGAGTCAGACGTGGTCTTCCACCCAAAGCATTTTCTATCCTTTTCCTTGTTTGTTCAGTCAGTTCAGTCGCTAAGTCGGGTCCGACTCTTTGCGACCCTATGAAACGCAGCACGCCAGGCCTCCCCGTCCATCACCAACTCCCAGAGTGTACTCAAACTCATGTCCATTGAGTCGGTGATGCCATCCAACCCTCTCATCCTCTGTCGTCCCCTTCTCCTCCCACCCTCAATCTTTCCCAGCATCAGGGGCTTTTCCAATGAGTCAGTTCTTTGCATCAGGTGGCCAAAGTACTGGAGTTTCAGCTTCAAAATCAGTTCTACCAATGAACACCCAGGACTGACTCCTTTAGGATGGACTGGGTGGACCTCCTCGCAGTCCAAGGGACTCTCAAAGAGTCTCCTCCAGCACGACGGTCTCCTTAATCCTTTTCGTGACAAAGGACTCTCATCCGTTTGTTCACTCAGGACCTGTGTCTCCCTTCTCTCCAATGTGAGAGCCGTGGAGCTGTGGTTCTGTCAATCATATTGGCTGCTAGAAGGATGCTCATTCCCTGACTCTGAAATCCGACATGGGACCTTTGTATAGTGCTGCCTTTCCCCATAGGTGCCTGGGGACTTGCCACCACTGCAGGCGGTCCCTGGTTTGCTATCTCCTCTGGCCCCAGCACTGTGGTCAGCACAGGAGGCTTACAGGGGGAGCTGGGCCAGCCAGAGCAAGAGAGGATGGCTCAGGGTTCTCCCCAGTGGACTGGAAATGTCCAGGGCCTGCTCTCCTCCCAGACACTGGGGAGCTTCCAGCAGACTGCTGGGGAAGAAAACCTCTGAGGTAAAAAATAGAATTTTTAGAACAAAGAGGATAAGAATGATCACAGTCTGCACAAATAGATGCAATGTGAAGTATGGAGTTAAAGGGGTTATTTAGCACCATGCAGACTGAATGCATTCAACCTCCAACGATGTCAAGTGTTTGGGGTGCTCTTTTTTGGGGGCATGTGTCTATACAGGGATGTGAAAGAATACATGAATAGCATAGGGATCTTTCTCTGTAGCTTGTTACATTATTAAATGTGCCTATGAACATGATTTTCTGGTTATACACTCTTCCTGTATCTTTGGTATACTTATTTCCTTCATTTCAATGATACTGGTTTGTAAAATAAGTAGGTGGTTAAGCAAAATGAAATAAACATATTCATTTGATTATACATAAATATCTTAATATTTGTTTCCTACATTAGGAAACCTGGTTAGAAACATGGCCCTCAGCCTGTCTTCCCCAAGCCCAACACTATAGCTTGCACATGGCAGGTGGGCACTATTGCTGAATAAAAAAAGCATGTGGTAACAAAATGCTTTAGCTTTGCAGTTTAGAGAATAGCATCCATCTATCCATCCATCCGTCCATCCATCCATCCACCCATCAGCCCATCAGCACTCTATACTTATTGCTATGTACTCCAAATTCCCAAAAGGAGGGGCAGTTTTAGACAAATTAGTGAGCTGCTCCAGGTTTCGCAGAACTCAGAACCAAAGCCATGGCTGTGCCTTTCCTCTGTCCCTATTCAGGTTTTTAACAGGTGGTTGATTCTCCCAAGCCTCTCTTTTTGGCCTCCATCCACAGAAGGGTACCACCACCTTGTCAGTTTCATACCTGTCTGATGGTGCCACAGTGGCCATAGGGAATGTTGAAGATCAGGTAGCGCCCTGTGACTCGGGGGCGACACAGCTCATCATTTAAGTGGATGTCCCAGGACGAGTAGCCCAGCCTCCGGAGGTAGCCTCGGTCAATGACAACTTGGAAAAGGTGAGGCCAGCAGGAGAGCTGGGCTGCAGAAGGGGGAGGAAGGGGAGAAAGTTACAAAGAGAACCTGGAGCACTGGACATAGAGTGCACTCAGGGGTGTGAATTATGTTTACTTTATAAAAGTACCATGGACAGTGCCCTGGGTTGGGGCTGGTTTGGCTCTCATCACCCTCTACGCTCAACTTGACTTTCACTGACTTTATACTTCCTCTTCTTTCCAAAGGGGGTCCTACCCACAGAACGTGTCCCAGAGTCAGAGCCTCTTCTAAGGATTTAAAGGACAGTTCATCTCATATGGTAAGAACATCCAAGCCTGAACATGCATCTGGGCCTTTGTATGAGGGGTAAGTTAGAAAAGGGGAGTGGAAGCCAAGGTGGGGGTGGGGGATGCAAAGGGCCTTCCTCCCCAGCCTTCTAAAGTCCAACAAGAGGATGGAGATACGAGAGATCTTAGGAGAGACACAGAAGCTGGTCCCTACACACAACCTATTCATTCTTCCCCAATGTCTCTTAGCTCCCCTTTCCAGAGCCTCACACCCTAGGAGGGAAGAAGACTTTACCGTTATCCTTGGGTACCACAGAGTCAGCTGCACCTGGTGGTGGGGCAGGGACAAAGAAAAGCAAACGTCAGCTGTGCAGAAGCACTGGGCGGGGACAACATAGCCAGCAGTAGACGTGGGCTGTAGGGAAGGGGGCTCACTGCATTCACTTATTAAAGCTGAAGCAATGGCCTGAAAATACTCCAGGGCAATGCGAAGTAAAGGAGGGCCCAGGGCCTCCTGATGGAGCTGGAGGGAGGGGTTCTGACATGGATAAAGTAGTGTTGAGAATGGTGTCATGAACACCAAGATTTGTTGGAGAGAGAGACTAGTAAACACAGGGCTTTGCAGGTTTTAAACCTCATCGCGTGGCTGAACCCTGGCTGGCGTCCCTTCCCATGCACATGGCGTGCTTGGTAGTCCAGGCTGGGAAATGCACGCTTCATGGCTTTCAAGCCCTCCCCTCCCAGAAGCAAGGCAAGACAGAAACCCAGGGCCACGGCCCAAAAGGAAGGCTGGCCAGATTCCCTCAGCCCCTCAAATGCTCTCAGCCCCAGACAACTGGTCCTTTGGCTGCCAAACCTGATGAAAAACAAACCCCTTGATGTATAATCCCATAGAAGATAAATTACCATTTACAGGGGGCCCCCCAACAGCATGAGGAATGGCTGGAACTGTGAACAGACAGTAAAAGTGAGGATCTGGAGAAAAAGGAACCCACAGCCCTACGGTGAGTCACACTACATGGCTTCCTGTGGAATTAACTCTCTCAAGGGGACTCTGATAGCCTTTCTATTTGGGCTCCATTTCTATGCAAAATAAGAGGAATCGCCACATAAAGGCAAAAGGAACAGCAAGGATGCCTTTGATTCACCTGCAAAAAAGTAGAATGGAAGAGCCAAAGTGAGCTAACCTTGTTCACCAAACCGTAGAATTCCATCACACAAGTGAGATTTAGTGGATAAATTAAGGGCAAATATAGGGGAGTATGACTCCACACAGAAGGAGTTCTGCCCATGGAAGTCAAATGCCAAGACAGATGGCCGGGGACAAAAACTATTTGCCAAATCTTGGATGAAAGGGACCGAGGGGAACCAGGACTGCGAGGTTCTGACTTCCAAGGGTTAGGTCAAAGTGGAGAAGGGACTCCACCTAGGACTGTGCCCTTATCAGAGGTTGAAAAGGGGACAACAGACAAATTGCAGTCTGACTGAAAGCAGCAAGTTCTTAATTTTAAATCACTTTTTAAAGCTGTCACTTGTTTGGCTTCACAAACTTTTAGCTATATTTCAGGACAAATACTGTGCTGAACTGGAATTAGAAAAACCTGGCTAACACAGTTCCACCTCTGTCTGTACATCTAAAAGATGTACCACAACGGCCAAGGAAAAAAAAACCCCCTGGTAACCCAAAAACCGGGGCCCCGGCCCAACCGAAAAAACCCCGGCCGGGGAAATCCGAACCTCCGGAAGGTCCCGGAAGAAAAAAAAGGGGGAACCCTAAGAAAAACCCCGGGGAGGGCCCGGCGTGGCAGGGGAGCCCGGGTACCTGCGCAGACCACGCCCGCGTCCTCCCGGTGCTGACAGTCGTGGCGCGCCCAGCCCGCGTGGGCGCAGCGCTCCAGCGCGTCCTCGGTGCCCGCACAGCGCACGTCGTCCAGCAGGATGGGCCCCGAACCTGGGCCGAAGCGGCCGCGCCCCAGGGCGCCCAGCGCGCGCCCGCAGCCCAGGACGCGGCACACCACGCGGGCGTCCCTGATGCTCCAGTGGTCGTCGCACACCGTGCCCCACACGCCCTCGTGCCGGACCTCCACCCGGCCCTCGCAGCGGCTGCGCCCGCCCACCAGGCGGAGGTCTGCGGGGGGCAAGAGGCACTGCTCTTACTCACCACATCTGTCCAATGGAGCTTCTTTTAATGAATAAAAGTCAACATTGTAAGAACTACTATGGATAGAGAGTTTCAGTTATAAAATAATTCCTGGGGATGTGATGTACAGCATGGTGACTATTATAGTTAATAAGACTGTATTATGTATCTGAATGTTGCTAGGAAGGAACTTGCAAATTTTCATCTCTAGAAAAAAATTTTTGTAGCTATGTTTGGAGATGGATGCTAACTCAAATTACTGTGGTGATCATTCGAGGTATATACAAATATTAAATCATTATGTTGTACACCTGCAATTAATATGTTTATTGTTTATGTTAATATGTTAATATTATGTTAATGTTAATTATGTTAACATGTTTATTGAGGTACCTATTATACCTCAATAAAAACCTCTATACTATGTAATGTAGTTATTCCATTCCTAGATATTTACTCAAGATAAAACACATGATCACAGAAAGATGTATAAATAGCAAACTCAGCAATATGCAAAACCTGGAAACAATCCAAATGTCCATCCACAGAGGAATGGACAAATAAATTGTGGTATGTATGTCCATAATAAATTGTAGTATGTCCCACACAATGCAACAATACTAAGCAGAAACAATACAAATGAAAAAAAGAACAAATCACCAACATATGGAACCACCTGGGGCAAATCTTAAAAACAATTTGTTGGGACCTCCCTGGTGGTCCAGGGGCTAAGACTCCGAGCTCCCAATGTAGGGAGCCTGGGTTTGATATCTGGTCAGGGAACTAGATCCCGAACACTGCAACGAAGACCCATTGCAACCAAATAAATATTTCTTTAAAACTTGTTAAGCAAGGTTTAGAAGACACAAAAGCATATACGCTTTGATTTCTCTTATATGAGATTCTAGAAAACCAAATCTAATTTACGGTGACAGAAAACAGATCAGTTGGTCTGGGGGAAGTGGAAAAGATTTACTGTAAAGGGACATCAGGGAACTTTCTGGGGGGATGGAAATACTCTAGATCTCTTTAATTTAATTAAAATTTTTTGCCTTATCCTGAGGCATGTGGGATCTTAGTTCCCTGATCAGGGATTGAAAGCACGGACTCTTAACCACTGGACCACCACTGAACACAACTGAGGGACACGACTGAGCGACTAAGCGCACACACACCCCACTGAAGTCCCAGAATGCTCTAGATCTTGATTGTGGTGGTGCTTACACAGCTGTATACATTAGACAAAACTCACAGATGTGTGCAATTTACTGTACATAATTATACTTCAAAAAAGGTGATGTAAAAAGTAAAACTAATTTTAAAAGAAAACCCATATTATGTTGGTGGTGCTATACCCACTAATGTGTATAAAATGATTTACCTTCATATAAATTAGTTGCTAGTGACTATTTTTCAATTTCCTGCTCTGCTCAGCACATAGAAGATGCTCAGTGAATGTTAATAAACACCTCTGGCATCTGCTTCTCTGTGACTGAAATACCCTGGTCCAGGATGGTTGCTCTCCTCATCTGATTTGTTACTGAGGCACTGGAAGCAAGATAACAACTCTTGTCCAAACTATGAATAAAGGCAAACATCTTCTGAGTGAGGCCTTGAGAGGTGAATCGGGGCTTCTAACCTACAAAATGTATGTGTGCGCACACATCTGTAACCTGCATATACACACCTAAAAGCTATAAAGTTTTCTGTAAAGGGTAGGAAATTTCAATGAAAAAGAAATAACAGTATTAATAATGATGTGATAGGTTTAGTGCTTAGAAATAAACAAAAATTACCAGGTAATGGGGTCATTTCCTCACCTACTGAAACTGTAAAAAAAGAAAAAACAAGCTTAAAAATATGCATATCTTCAAAGTCACATATATATATTCAAAGATGAAAATGAGCCAGATGTTTTTTCTACGTTTAGACACTAATGCTTTCTAAAAAAGTTTTTAGTTTGGGAGCCAGAATACTGTTTATTAGGTTTTATTTATTTATTTATTTGTCCATTAAGTTGCATCAAAATGTAACAAGTAGTAGTGTGTGGCTTTTTATTCTCCAAAACTCAAATTATTGATTTATTTTTAAAATTTTGGCCATGCCGTGCAGCATGTGGGATCTTATTTCCCAAACCAGGAACTGAACCTGTGCTCCCTGCTTTGGAAGCATGGAGTCTTAACCGATAGTTATCAAATAATCTATTCAATGGTCAGAATAATTTTATAAATGCACTCAAGTTCTGAAAGGAAGAATTCAAAAGCATTAGATTTTTACAAGGGCTGAAAATGAAGAAAATCAAGTGAGATTCCAGAAATATTTTTAGATAAGAGAAAGACCATATCTAAGAGATGCAATCCCATATGAAAATATTCAGAAGGAGGCAAGGTAGGAAGAGTAACAATGGACTTTATGACAGCGTTTGGTTGTATAAACTACTATAAAACTAAGGATTAATCTAGCAACAGGCATATGATCGTTACCAGATGACAACATCACTTCTGTTGAAACCAGATCTGTGGCTGCCAAAAAATTTTTTTCCAGTGAAAAGAAAGCATTAGCATTTGAATTCATTGAAATTTTATGCTGTAGACCACAAGGTTTTGAAAACAAGACTGTTTTAAGCTGCAAAAAATAGAATCCACTCTGCTTATTTATCTTGTGGACTTGTGCACGCAGGGGGTAAAACAGTGTATGTGAAGTTGGTCTTTAACAAGGTAGGTTAACAACCATTCCCATTATGAGCATCTACAATGTGTCTTATAATTTACGACTCTAATCCTTACCACAAACATGCCAGCTAAGTATTATCACTATTTTAGAGATGAGGACATGGAGACTCAGCTTACACACATGTCTGTGAATGCATGTGCATGATAAGTCACTTCAGTCGTGTCCAACTCTTTGCAGCCCTATGGACTGTAGCCCGCCAGGCTCCTCCATCTATAGAATTCTCCAGGCAAGAACACTGGAGTGGGTTGCCATGCCTTTCCTCCAGGGGGGGGTCTTCCCGACCCAGGGATCGAATTCACATCTCTTACATCTCCTGCATTGGCAGGCAGGTTCTTTACCACTAGCGCCACCTGGGAGGCCCTGTACATGTGCCTGGATCATCCACAATTCAAACCCATGAGACCCCAAAGCACACTCTTCCGACACCCCTTTGCCTCTCAGAGCATAAGATGTGGGAGTCGCATCCGCTCTGGCTCCACGAGGTGACTCAGGGATGGGGGGGAGTGGCTTGGAGCCCCCCTAGCCTCTCCTGTCCTCTCTCCCCTCCTCTGTTAGGGAAACAGGAACCCTCTCTTCTTGGCTGGATTCTTTCAGAAAGCCACTCACAGAGCTACTACAAAGAGCAGAGAGATACCTGGTGAAGAAGGAGCTTCGCTTGAAGTGGGAGTCATATCTGCAAACAAAGAAGGATCAAACTCGAGTATTAGTGAAAAGGAGATGGAATGAATTTTTCAAAAACAGTGTGGTTGAAAACAGAAGAAAGTGAAAGTGAAGTTGCTCAGTCGTGTCCAACTCTGCGACTCCATGGACTGTAGCCTACCAGGTTCCTCCGTCCATGGGATTTTCCAGGCAAGAGTACTGGAGGGGGTTGCCATTTCCTTCTCCAGGAGGTCTTCCTGACCCAGGGATTGAAACTGGGTCTCCCACATTGTAGGCAGACACTTTACCGTCTGAGCACCGTCTGAGCCACCAGGGAAGTGGTGAATGGATAAAAGCGACACAATCACAGTCGTCCCCTAGTGGGTGCATCTGGGTGGAGGGGTCAAAGCATCACTTGAATCATAACATGACCACCCAGCAGGTGGAGGCGTGGACCCCCAGCCCTCGAGTCTCTTGGGCACATCCGATCAAAACCAGTGTGACAAGCAGAAGGTGTTCCCTGGTGGAGGGACCACTTCTGTGTCTGTGAGTGAACGAGAACATGAAGCTTAATTTCTGTGAAAAGGAGGCTAGGACTTCTGTTTACCTTGGGGCTTATTCTGTAGACAAAATATTCTATGTATATGTTCACTTGTTAAACAGAAAGAGGAGAGTTTGAACTTAGGAAATGTGACTGGTAGAAAACATTACCAGAGGGGGTGTCCACTTCTGCTGAGGCCGAGAACACATCTGTGCCTGAACAAAGAAAACAGGATACTTAGAAAGGAGACAAAAAGACATTTCGTGTGTCTTTTCATTGGGGTTTACTTTGTGGTCGTTAAGTGGGCTTGTTTTCTAAATAGGACCCGAGCAGTAAGAAGCTAGTCTGGTTCATTTAAACACCACAGTGAGAGAGCATTTACCAGATGGAGAGGTCATATCTGCTGAGGCTGAAGAGAGATCTGTAAAAAAAGAGATGAAGAAACTTACATACCAGTGGAGAAGATTCCTGGGTTTCTGTTTTTACTGAGGCAGTGTTGGGTGCAAAATATCGATGTGACAGCCTAGTCTGATAAATGGAGCTCCAAGAAGAGGCACTTATGGGACACTAGACAGTGTTTTACCTGGTGTGGAGGTCACACTGGCTGACAATGAAGCTGCAGATGAACAAAGAGAAGAAGGCAGCAATAAGACAGACTGACCAGCCATACGTGTTTCTATAAGATACAGAAGACGTAAAAATGGCCAACAAAGACCAGTATGACTGACTTGGCTTGTCTGCCTACTGTCTAGACAGGAGCTACAGCAGGGCATCTCCAAATGCTTTACTGCCCCCAGGCCACCCCTCTACTCCCTGGGTCTCCTCTTGGCCACCCTTCCCTTCTTCTCTTGAAGGCTACCTGCTCAGAGGGCAACAACCATTGGTCCAAGTTTCTCCATTGCACAGTGTTCATCTAACAAAGATTCCATAAGTGATAGTGAAGTCGCTCAGCTGTGTCCGACTCTTAGCGACCCTGTGGACTGTAGCCCACCAGGCTCCTCCATCCATGGGACTCTCCAGGCAAGAATACTGGAGTGGGTTGCCATTTCCTTCTCCAGGCGATCTTCCCAACCCAGGGATAGAACCCAGGTCTCCCGCATTGCAGGCAGACGTTTTAACCTCTGAGCCACCAGGGAAGCCCTGCTTTTCCCTGCCTCCCCTTAAATGAGTGGGAGGCAGTGACCCAGGAAAGGGTGATCTCTGCAGACTGGAACTTTCCCTAGGTAGGCTGTCTCAAGATATAGACTGAGGGTGAGGAAGAGTATGAAAAGTCCATTTGTCTCATACTAAGAGATGCCCTGCATCTCTTAGCTGTATCAGTAATAAAGGCCATATTTTGATTCTGACTCTGATGCTTTATTTTAGAACTGCTTTATTTCAACACCTGGAGTAGAGTAGAGCATCTTCTTTATTGTCCTCCACCCAAATAAATCTCTAACACTAATTGTCAAATTAAGTCCAAAGTCAGACAGGTGAAAACATGTGAGTTATTTTCAAATATCGCTTGATACTGATTTCTAACATAATCCCGTAGTGATAAGAGAACAGACTCCGTATGAGCTCAATACCTTTAGACCATGACATTTTTGCACCTTGTTTCATGTTCCTGGATATGTTCTACATTTCCAAGCTCACAGTCTGTGGCAACTTGAATAGAACTTGTATTCTATTTGTGTGAAAATTGTACAAATCTAAATTATGCTGAACTGCTTCACCATGCTTTTCAGGTCTACCATATCCTTCTAGATTTCTGTATATTCATTCTATTAATTTTTGAGAGTTTGATATTCAAACTCCAACTAAAACTCTTAATTTATATACTTAAAAATAATTGTAATATATAGGAGAACTATATGTAACTTTGTCCTGGACTTTCCAAGTCTCCTGTAAATGTGTTATCATACTTTCATAATTTAAAAAATAAGAAAGAGGGAAAAAAAACCAAAGTCACACAGTAACTCCTCAGATAACGGCATCACTCAAAGTCTAACATCCTAGAGGACAGCTATTTGTCATCCTGGTCAGCTCTGCATCCCTCACTATCTTGGCTCATGGCCATCTTCACCGAATGCTGGTTGAACATTCAGAAGGATCAGTTAAAGCCATGGTCTGACTCTCCAGCAGTCTGACAACACCTACATGATGGCTGGTGTTCAGGAGAAGCTCCCTTCATGAACAGTTGACATTCGACCACCAGTTAGTCCAGCAAATGACTCATTGCTTGTGTTTGGCTGAATTGGCTGGACTCATTTTCCCCTTGGCCCACACAGTTAGTATGGCCTTTTTTGAGTCAGGTCAGTATAAACACATTTTAAAACTTTCAAAGAATTTATCATGACATAAACAGTTATTTAATGAGCTCATTGGAAAATCAAATAATTTATAAGCATGTAATTTATAAGACAATTTATAAGCAAATAATTTATAAGATGGACGAAGCCCAAAATAACATCAAAATTACCTGTCGAGGTGGTTACAGCAATACTCAGAGATGCTGGAGATAAGAAAAGACAATTGATCAAAACTTGCCAAATGGCAAGAAATAGTAGTATTGTTAACTTATTTTCTTCTCTCTGTCCCTGGAGCATAGAAACCATGCGTGCATGCATGCGTGCTCAGTCATGTAAACGGCCAGGTCCTTAGTCCATGGAATTTTCCAGGCAAGAATACTGGAGTGGGTTGCCATTTCTTACTCCAGGGGATCTTCCCAACCCAGGGATCAAACCTGAGTTTCCTGCATTGCAGGTCAATTTTTTTTTTTTTTTTTTTTACCCACGGAGCCTTTGGGGAAGCCTACAGAAACCACAGACTTCATTTATTTAGTCAATAGGTCTTGATTCATTTATCTATTCTGGTAGGCACTGTGCTAAATGCTGGAATGGGGCGATCAACAAAATTAGGTATGGCTGCTGCTCCCGCTCTACAAAACTGCTCTTGTGACAAGTGCTATGAAGGAGAGCTGCGTGATGCTATGAGAACCTATGACAGGTGAGCTGACCTGGCCAGGGAGATACCCTCTCTGCCTTCCTGACCCCTCAAGTCCCCAGGCCTGGTGCAGGGTCTGACCCAGATTAAGCACCCTGCTCAAAAGACAGCAAGCTGACAATACACCTCCCCCAGAGCTGTCCTAGTCTTGGCCCTGGTGGCATGACAGAGGCAACCTTACTGTCTCATCCGTCTACATTTGCAGTGGGCAGAGGGCATTACCAGGTGAAGGAGTCACTTCTGCTGAGGTTGGAATGATGCCTGAATACAAAACACAAACAGGAAAGTTAGTCAGTGGATCAGAAAGTTCTTATTCTTTTTCTAATATACACAATTCTGCCTTTCCTATCATCTCATTAACCAGGCTTTGCTTTTGGAAAATTTAAGTGTGAGAACTAATTGTTTCCCACCCTCTTGAATAAAAGTTTAAGTAACTAAATTAAAAACACACGAGTTGTGTTCCCTGTACTACCATGTTTTTACACACACAACAGCCAACCGAAGTGGAAGTACATACTGCAGTCATTTCTCTGTTATCAGACATTGCCCTGAGGTTAAATGTTTATTGAATGTGTGTGTGAAGTCGCTCAGTCATGTTCGACTCTTTGCCACCCCGTGGACTGTAGCCTACCAGGCTCCTCCGTCCATGGAATTCTCCAGGCAAGAATACTGGAGTGGGTTACCATATGTTTATTAGGTGGTTTTAAATCTTTTCTCTTGGCAAAACTCTATTAGCCTTTGCCCCGCTTCATTCTGTACTCCAAGGCCAAATTTGCCTGTTACTCCAGGTGTTTCCTGACTTCCTACTTTTGCATTCCCATCCCCTATAATGAAAAGGACATCTTTTTTGGGTGTTAGTTCTAAAAGGTCTTGTAGGTCTTCATAGAACCGTTCAACTTCAGCTTCTTCAGCGTTACTGGTTGGGGCATAGGCTTGGATTACCGTGATATTGAATGGTTTGCCTTGGAAACGAACAGAGATCATTCTGTCATTTTTGAGATTGCATCCAAGTACTGCATTTC